TTATTTCGTTTCGGAAATATCAAGTACAACGAACGAAATGTACAATGTCCCGAGAACAAGCAGCATCTTGCATACCGTAGTATGTTCTACAGATGAGTTGATGTTTTGAAAAGGGTGATTTTAACTTCGTATGAGCGCCGTGCAATCCTGCTGATTTATCAAAACGGTAGAATTTGAGAACATGAAATAATTTTGCACTGTTTTTATTTTTATTGCAAGTCTATACAACGTAAGAGTCGTTGGAAGTGATGCATTTTGGCGTCGTCGTGGCGTTTTCGCTAGGACTTGTCGAATGAGGCGGGGTGGACGAAGAACTCTTGGCTTCCTCCTCGTCTAATCTTTTGGCTACCACTGAAATTATAATCAACAACAGATCAGTGAACGCGCATAACAAGCACATATATATATATATACAAGGTTAATTATATGTATATGTATAAATACTAACAACCACGCAGGACTGTATTCATCAAACAACTCTGATGTATTCAAATAACAATGACGTGACAAAATAACAGTGATTTAGCCAAATAATTACGATGTATTCAAATAATAGTTATATATTCAACTAACAACTAATAGTGATGTAATATATAGCCAAATAATTGTGATGTTTTCAAGTAACTGTAATTTATTCAAATAACAGTGACGTAACTAGATAACGGTGATATAGCAAAATAATGCTGATATTGCCGAATAATTGTAATGTATTCAAGTAATAGTGCCGTAATTATATAATAGTGATATAGCCAAGTAATTGTGATATATTCTAGTAATCGTGATTATTAAAATAACAGTGACGTAACTAGATAACGGTGAAGTAGCCAAATAATACTGATATTGCCAAATAATTGTAATGTATTCAAATAATAGTGATGTAACTAATAGTGGTGATGTAGCCAAATAATAGTGATATTACCAAATAATATGATGTATTGTAATAATTGTGCTTTCTAATAATAGTGATGTAACCAAACACCTAATTGTCAAGTAACCAACGAGTGACATCTTTAAAATCTTACTTTTAACCATATCAATAATATGTGCAATTTCAATGGCCTGGTTGGCAACTTGTTCATACGCATTTATGTGTTCAATTGGTTTCCAGTCGCTGTATAGACGTTTCAATGTCATTGTTATGTCTTGCATAATGTTAAACTTGTCGCTAATATCGCCCATTAAGTAACCGACTTCGAAAGACGAGGAGTTGTTGTAGTGATTCTGTATTAACTCAGCTCTTTTTACTTTCAGATCACTATCCCTCACCGTTTCGTACATTAGCCTGTGAATATAGAGACGTTTAATTGTTATGATTGTAGAATTCAGTATGGGAACGTTTAGCTGTAGTAGAGCTCCATGTGAAGGTGTTGATCCAGGGAAGTATTGCCACCTGTGCGTTCCGGTGTTGAAGGTAAGGTCGCTGATAAAATTACAGACACAGGGGCTTATTAACTTATGTCGCAGGGTGACAAGCGCAGTGGCAATGCCCCATAGATCTTTGGGACTTAAACTGCAGCCCGCTAACAAAAACGCGGCGATGTGACAATATAATATTTTGAGATATCATAAAAAAACCGTAACCCAGTTTTGGAATATTGAAAATGTTTAATGATATTTCAGCTATGCATCGTTAGGGGAGGTGCCGATAAGTCGAAAACGTTAACTAATTTATACTGTTTTTAAAAAAGAATTTTTTTCTCTATTTAAAACGGATATTTGACCATTTGTCACTTGCCGCGTTTTAGTTAGTGGATGGCAGTAAAGCTCTAGTTCATGGCTTTGCGATTGTTATGGATAGCTTGCCTACCTTTTCTGCATAAGATTTGACCTACTTACTTACGGCGCCGAGACATGGACGCTCACAAAGGAATACATGAGCAAAATCAGAGTAGCACAAAGGGCAACGGAGTGCACCATTCCGATAACCGATTTCAATAAAAGTTGGCAAATAGATGCAATTCCACGAATTTTTGAAGTCGGTTATTTTTTATAAAAAAGTTATCATTTCTACGTTACGAAGCTGAAATCTTAAAAATGTTATTTTTTATTACTCCTAGCGGGAATCTCGATGTTGCGTTTGACAGCTGCCATTCCAATACAATCGCTACGAGAAAGAAAGACTGGAAACTCGAAAGAGAAAGGGTTTTTTTAGAAACATTATTTTTAGAAAATAGAAAATAATACTTTAAATAGTTGTTTCCCCGTATTTTCCAGACCTGTGATTGATAAATATACCGAAATCCAAAAAAAAAAAACGAAAAAGCGACAATGTTCTACGGTTTGGCCACATTGCCAAGTTTTGCAAAAACTCCGAAAAATGTTCAATATGTTCAGAGAGTCGCAGAAACCATTATGACTATTTCATACTATATCCATTTTCCCTGTAGGTATGATAATTTTTCGGAAATTCAATAAGCTATCGGTCGGTCGCCGGTAGTATTTCGTCACCCGCACGCTGCACTGTATTTAGTCGATAGAAGTCGTTGCGAGCCGCTGCGACCGCAGTCGCGAAATATCGCCTTTACGGTGCACGAGCCCTTAAATCGCAAAGCATCTTAGGCTCAACTCACAATGGCGCAGAATCGAAGTATCTCAACGCCTGTTTTCCAACTACATCGCGTGACGACGCGCGTAGACGCTTGATTCCATATTTGCAAAACACAAATTTGCACAAATTTTTATTTGCACTCCAAAACAACACATTGAGGCATTTTTCTAGGATTTTAATTGTTTAATGACACAACCATAGGATACAAAGCGAAAATTGCAGACTGAGCTCAGATAGGTATTTCTAGGCCTGTAGTTGGCACGCGTCTGACGCTAACTAACCACTTCTGTATTTATTGTTATGTGATGGTAACTGTTCGACCACGGAGGCAGTATACGCAGGCTATGTCTTGTCATTACCTATCATTGCCCAGCCATAACCTATCATGGCATTATGACTACACTATCTGACTCAGTATCTTTGAATTGTATATAGATCATATTTTTAGTAACCCCGGAAATAAAATAAACAAACTGTCGTTTGTTAATATTTAACCTTAATTACAGTACCGGCACGCTATGATGGCGGTTTTGACAGATTACAAAGGTAAAATCTCAATTAATTATCGAAAAAAATGTAATCAAATGCGAGTCGCATCTATAAGTTTTTAGATTTATAACTATACTTAGAATAATAACTCATAGAAACCTAGTCCGCACACGCTAAGTGAGGCAAATTGAAGCGCGTCAAAAGGGCCTACACGAGCGGGCGGGCCGTCAGTGCTCAAGGTCAACTTGCACCGCGAACAGCTCAAGAATTTTAGCTAAAAAATGACGAAATGTGCGGTAAATGAGTGTAAAAATACGTCAGACAAACATAAAATAGATACTAACATCACATTCCACAAGGAAGTAACGCGTTTCAACTTGTATTTTTATATAAATATTCACTAAAACCGAAAATTAACCTACTACTAAAACTAGCCTACATGAATTTGACTTTTGCCTCACTTGTGACAGTTCGTTTGATATGAAACTATAATTCTATGCGTTATTATTCTAAGTATTTAACCTTAATTACAGTACCGGCACGCTATGATGGCGGTTTTGACAGATTACAAAGGTAAAATCTCAATTAATTATCGAAGAAAATGTAATCAAATGCGAGTCGCATCTACAAGTTTTTAGATTACCAACTAGTATTGTAAGGGGTAGCTGATTAAAAAGATTTAATAAAACGAAAATAAAAATGTTTACTTAATATATCGTCAATTCGAAACTGCTTTGTTTTGCATTGAGCTTTGACGCGAGTTTGCCGGAGCTAAAAGTTGGCTGGCCAGCGATTCTATAAGTAACGATCGTATTCATTGACTTACAATTATATGGACGTCGGGTCCGCGCTAAAAAGTGTCCGAACTTATAGGGCGTTAAAATCGTATACAGAGCGTCATTCACGCTCTAGTCTTCGTTTGTTCGACTGACAGCGAAGCAAGCAAAATTAGACAGTACTGCGATGACATTACAATTGAAATTCAACGTTTTAGCTTTTTCATATTCCTTGACATGTCACTACGTTTATAGGTTGACTTGGGACATTTTTTCCGTGGTTTTTGTATTAAACCCATCGTCCATTTATTTGTAAATCAGTGATCGTATTAGATTTTATTTTCAAAAATTTCGAATTTCGAAAAACAAATAAAGTTTTAAAAAAAAGCCGAGTTGTGTCCTAATTATACATTCCATAAGTTTTACTGCGAGTCTATATTGACTACAATGTATGTACATCAATTAGCTCCTTCAACGTAGTTGTGAATTAATACGGAACTTGATGAGCGGACAAACGTCAAAACAGCCATCATAGCATGCCAGTACTATAGACAACGCATGGCACAATTTTCAACAAAGAATTTTGACAGTCTGTTAAGCTGTGAGGCCCACCTGAAAAGTTTCATTTTCATATTATTATCTTCGTTATCCCGATCCTTATCCTTGGTCTCCCCGCGACGAGGAGTTGCCATTTCTAACGCCTCGATACCGACTCGTCGGCCGTCCATCTGTTTAAAAAGCAATAATTAAACTGACCTTCTGTATAAGTCATGTCAAGTCAATTACTGTAAGGCAATTATTTATTAAGTCCACAGTCAGTTTCAGTTTCAGTAATATATGGAGCAATACGTGCTGTTTGAGCAGCACGTATTGCTCCCATATATTACTGAAAACACTAATAAAAGACGAAAAGATATTGTCTGCCCCAAAATTATATCATCAAAACATACTTTTATTTCAAGATTTTTTGTGTTTCTTG